TCACAATACAGGTTGTCAGAACACTAAGGAATCACAATACAGGTTCATGGAATTACATTTTAATTTCAGTTTCAGTTGGGTTTTTTTTTAATTTAAATTATTTCAAGTCAATTTCAATATAAGTAATGAACCGCTCTCATATAATTATTATAACTACTAGATACACCAACAGAAAACAGTTCAAATCTTAAATAAATCGTCCTTACCAGTTCATCCCTGTGGTCGTTTTCCCCTGCTGAAGATGTAAGCTCAGGAAACAGCTGATCATATGCTGGTGGTAGGTCCAACTGTTAATGACATTGTAAATATTTTCTCTTTATAAATTTTCATCATGGTACGAAAAAACTATTTGTAAACTGTATAAATCCCACATATTTATATATCATTACATCTAAAGTCTTCCATCATCATGGACTACAGCACATTGTTGTTCCCCTGCTGTCTGACTGTCTATATGGCTAGGGAATTTGGAACATCTTTTAGGGGAGTATTACAGTAAAATCCCACAAGAAACTGTACTAAATTTGTCAATGACCTTTGATTCATATATGTTGGAAAAACTTATTTGAGCTTAAAGAACTCCTGTCACATCATATTTCATATAAGTTAATAAAGTTAAACTTTTTTAAGAACAACTTGTTAAATAGTATTCATAATTATGTCTTAAAACATATAACTCCTTCCAAGTGACCATCGCCCATATGTAAGGTCACGAAAGGTCAAATATGCTGAAATCTTTAAACAACTTTTTCTGAATAACCAAAAGGTCCATGGTGATGATATTTGGCCAAAAGCATGTTGGCATAAAGGGCTCAGAGGAAGACATTAAATAAGTGTATGATATACCATTGGGTATTGTATCTATCCAGTACCAGGTGGTGTCACTCTATTTTGTTTACATACCAATGGTCATTGTATCTACCCAGTATGAGGTAGTGTCACTCTATTTTGTGTACATACCAATGGGTATTGTATCTACACAGTGTGAGGTGTTGTCACTCTATTTTGTGTACATACCAATGGTCG